GGAATACTGCTGACATTGTTCTTGCCTCCTTTAGGTCCCCTAAATATGCCCTCTTTCTTATTTTTGGCATTCTAGGTATTCTTTTACTAATGGAAAAAAAATCTCATCAGCAAATGTGGAAGAAAAATATTTTATGTAAATAATCTACTGAAGGCCTAGTTATGCCATTGTACAATATATTAGAAATGAAAGTAAAATTAGTGAGAATGTGGGAAAAGATGTTACACAACTCTACCGCAGCTTTACAACATGATGATGTGTGCTCAAATTAGAAAGAGCGATAGAAGCTAAGTTTGAATATGCATCTGTAATTCTGAAAGGCTGTTATGTTCTTGTTCTCAGAACTGGCTTGTCAGTGAGATATAAAATAGAAATAGGTACAGTCAGTTACATGTGCATTGGGATCTTGTCTGGATTAAAAATCCATCTCAAAGTGTTCATTTCTGTTCTAGCTTTGTTCTGGTGGAATTATAATATTTGAGATTGGGCTGGATGCTTTTGCCTCCCTGCATGCTTGATGTTTGTGGTTCTGAATAGGCTTTAATTTCACCATGATTAGGAAAGCCAGGTAGTAGACAAAAGCAGTGCCTAGGAGGGAGTGGATAATCTATTTACTGTTGAACTTTATGCTGTCCTTCACTCCTCAAATAATCTAACATAATTATCATTTATAGTACATGGCCATAGCTGCTGCAAGAGAATGCCTGGGAGGAGAACCAGCACTTCATCTGTGCAAATTCATCACCGTGTTACACCTTGCACACAGAATAGTCAAAAAGAGCCTATACAACTTTAGGAACACTTGGCAGGAAGGGTCAGGTCCCTGACTATACCGAGAGCTAGAGCAGATGTGCCAACAGGACAACGGTAAGTCCTGGGCTGTATCTGAGCCTTGTCCGAGTCAGGATCTGGATCGTTAGGTGGTCACCGAGTGCCTGTTTCTGCTAGGGATTCCCAGAAATCAAGCATGTTAACAAGCAAGGTCATCCATTTCACAAAAAAATAGGAAGGCAGAGAGACACTTAATAGAAAATGGTCTGCTGAAAGCTAGAAGATATGCTTTATTAAATCACACTGCTTAATGTGTATCAGAGATGAGAAGCCAGATTCCACGGAGCTGCCAGCTTCTTGGACGTTGTATCCTGAAAACCATCTCAGGGTCTTCCTTTCAAGCTGTTCTGCTTTAAACAAATTATTAAATATTCATTGACCCAGAGAGAAGTAAAAAAAAAGGTAACCCTATAGTCAGACTGTTGTGACAGTAAAGGGTGTGTCAGCATCAACGCTGCAAGTCCGTGCTCCAAAGAAGCTTTAAGACACCCTCACCCTAAAATTTCACATAGTCTCTGGCAAAATGGTCTCACAGATTACATGAACTCCTCAAAAGGAATTAGAAAATTAGTCTCCCAACACTGCTGGAGGATACTGTACTAGGATTATTGGGCAAAATAACGATGCTTCTACTCTGAAAAATCTTTTTTTTTTTTTCAATTTTTTGCGGAAGGACCTTATCTGGTGGATCTAAGATATGCACATGATCAAGGTCTCTAAGCAGCTAAGTGCATATCGGTCTGGACTGTTTTATTTGTGGGATTACTTATGCGAGGGATTGGTGAAAATTGGAAAGTGATCTTTCAGTTCTTTCACTTTTTGCATTTATTGCACTGAACCCCTAACCTGATACCATTTTTTTCCCAGACTTAATAATAATTATCCAGAGTTTCAATATTTAGACTACCAGTTCAAATTTCCCTGGCTATTTCTAGACTTTTGCTTCCTCAGGTGCTCGGGGCCTTGTCCAGTCAAGTTTTGAAAATCTCCAGGGATGGAGATTCCATAACATCTCTGGGCAACCCATGCCAGTGCTTAGCCACTCTTTTTACACTGTTAAAAAGAAGCTCAAAATCAAGTCAATGTTTAATGTCTGTAATTATGGTAATAGTTATTTAAAATAGTTTATTTCATCTAAAATTTTCAGAAAACCTGAACTGAAACTTAGCTTAATACTACTGATATAATAGAAGTCATCCAGCACCCCAGTGGAGAGCAAACCAATCATACTTGGTATCTGACACTGGACTATCGGGTTTCATAAAATTAAGTTTTGAGTTTGTGCTCCTATTTCACACATGTTGCATGGGCAGTTTTAACAGTCATTTCTAATTTTTGAGAGCTTGACTTGCAATCTTAGTATTCCTTTAGCATACCATGACTTTTTTTCCCCATTTGTTATACACTAGCAATATGATTATAAAGATAGGATTCCAGCTCTGCTTTGTCTTTACATAGTGGTTTGACTTTCAAAAGTGCTTTACTTCTTATTATTAGCATTCACTTCTAAGACTTATTTAGGTATATAAAGATGACCAGGGATTGCAACTTCAGGTACTTTTTGAAAATCAGGGCATAGGTCTTTTTAACCTCAATGGTTCTGCTTTGTAATGACTGCGGCTGGCACAGAAAAGGGGATAGAGAGTCTTGCAAAACCATAGCAACAGATCCCATCAACGAAGCTTTAAATTCTTTTCCTGTTTGTGGAAGTTCAGGACAGTACCGACAGGATATAAGCACTGAAAGAATATCGTACAAAATAAGTACTCCTGACAAACTTGATTTTTTACTTAGTCAGCAGTTAGCTGATTCTCTTTCACAGATCCTCCCCTTGCCTGGTGGGATGGCCCTGTGGTGGTTCACTAGGAAATCAGGCTGCACAGAGGTTTTGGTCTGCCACTAGCAATCTGAAGTCCAGAGAAAGCAAAAAGCAAGCCGCTGACTTTTCAGCAAACTTCTTGTGGCAGAACCCACTTCCCTATTGAAATCCTGTATTAAAAACAAATTTTAAAACAAGGTAGTATAGACTTCAGGCACTGCAAATTTCTTATGTTTCCCATTCAATTTGAAGATATGTGATATTCTGAATTTCATGCTTCAGGTAGACCTAGAGAATTTTTAAGACAACAATTCATTGCTCATTACAGAGCTATCACCAGCTTCATTTAAGAGAAAAAAGTAGTTGCAGTGAAATGTAGTAGATGCATTTGTAGCCTATGCATCGATCCCGCTCCCGTTTATGCCATGTGAAGAAGCTGTACTTTCAAAGCTGTTGATTGCAGTGCTCTGCACTGCTGGAAAGAGATCTTTGTCAGTTTAGGCACCGCAAGGGTCTGGGTAGTGGTCACTTTGCGTGGATTCATGCAGTGACCCTAGAGTCCAGCACAAGCACAAAGTGTCCCTGGGTGCTTCTGAAGCAGCAGCAGAAAACAAGGGTGCACAGCAAATCGCTGCTCTGGCCATACAACAGGACATATTTTCTTCTGCTCAGCACATTGCATTTCGCCCAAGATCGATACTCTGGTTAAACTGGCATGCAGTAGATTTCATGTTTGGATTCTAATTTAAGAAACTGCTTGATTGTCTAACTTTCAATATGAGCTTAAGCCTTACTGAAGCTGAAGGAACAAATAGATGCACAAGTATCTGAATGATTTGGGATAGTTTTACATGTATCCTTACACGTGATAAATCAGAGCTTAAATTAACAGGACATTATACACTTTCTAAAACTAACACAAAGATCTCAGTTAAGATAAGTAGTATCATGATTTAAGTGAATCCCAAATACACATGCAGTTTTTAAAACCTTACAAGGGATGCATACCTTCCTAACATAAAACAGGAAAATATAAACACCATATTTAAGATTTTATATCAATATTTTAATGGAATGTTATTTAATAACTTTAAGGCTTACATCAAAATAATTAATATTATATTCATTACTGGATGTCTTAATCTTTTTTTTATGACTAGAAAATTAGTTTAAAGAAACATAATTAAAATAATTCTAGACCATTCTGCCACCATAACATGATTAAAAATAAAGTAGGTACTGCAATACTGTACAAAAATGCAGCTAATTTAAATGCAAACCCCTTTTATGGGCTATTTATCTCTGCTTATGTATGTTAGGGGAATTAAAAAGAAGTTTGTTTAAATGACTGAATTTTTTTTTTTAGAGAAAAAAGGGCTGCAGAGCAAGTCTTGCTATTATTTAGCAAATATTAATCATGCTTACACAGAGGCCACTTGAGAAAAATTTATTACAAGAAATTTGTGACCAGTCATGCCATAGGAAGAGGAGAAAGCCACAGGGCTGAAATGACAGTAAGGTTTGTGTATGCAGTGCTCCTCTGGTAGTTAAATTGCAGGAATGTGACATTGATCTGAAATGGGAACTGTTTGAAGTAGCAACTGTCAATCTCTGTAATCAAAGGATGGCCCAAAGTCTCACTCAATTAGCCATTTTGGCATGACCACTCAGTTTATAAAGTCCTACCAACTCAAAAAGTGTTCTGTCCTCAAGAGGCACTTCGAGAAGACTGTGCGGTTTGAGGATAGTGAACAGTCATCCAGGACGATAGCTTGGACACTTCATTTTGTTGTTTGGGGTTGTTTTTTTTTTTGCAAAAGCACAGCAATGCCTCATTTAACTGACTGTACTTACTACAAGGTGAGCCAAACGTGGATTTAGGTATGAGTGAATATCTGCTGCTGTTGATATTACTTGAAGTTGGTTGGCTTATGTTTTTCTTTATACATTTATTTACTCTTTCAAGTATGAAAGAGTAAATACACTGATATTAATTTTAGAGTACATATATGCCTGTAGATTTGATTGTAATGACCATCAATTTCAACAGAGATCATTCTTTAATGAGAATAGAAAAATGTGTAGCATAGTTCTGGTCTTTTCTCAGGATCATGTTTAACTTTCCTAATTCTTTCATAACTTTTCTTTGATAATTGTTCAGAAGGTTTATTCAGCTGTGTTAGGTGAAAATAGTATGCAAATAAGAAATGTGTAAGGGTGCAAAACTGGAAAAAAAAAATTAAGGTTAATAATAATTCTATCCAAGTGTTATTAAAGCTGAATCTATTGTTTTGAAGTTTTATAAGTGAACATATGGGCAAATACTGGTACCGGTAACTTGAAACTTTAGCAATTATTTCCATTCTTTCCCAGGTACAAACACACTTGGAAAATCAGTCTAGATACCACATACAGCAAAGCCAGAGGCACCAGGTGAAGCAGTACCTGACCCTCGACACCAAGCTGTCCAGCCAGACGCTCTCCCTGTCGCACTCCCACACAATCCAGCCTGTGGGAGTGACCTCCATTTTACGAAACGGACACATGCCTCCTGTCAGCGATATTGGCACGCCAGAAAGCCCTGTTACCAAGCTGCTGGCCCTTGGAGGCGAACACGAAAATGCGGTAGGGCAGGGCTGGTGAAAGGAATGGGGAAATGGGCTTTGCGTACTTCGACAAAAACATTACCTGACCCATCTTGTATTGGTAGTGGGCAAGAGATAACTTTCTTTACTTTCATGGGGTCTTCAGCTGCAGCACTTAATCCCTGAATCCTTTTGGATTACGTGGGTGATTCCTTGAATGAATAGCTTATTGCGTGATCAGGCTTCTGAATTACTGCCAGTTAAAATGTACTGTTGCATGTTTTTATCTATGCGTCATATATGGCTGTACGTTTTTTGAATATGTACTTCGCAATGCAAAACTTTTTTTTTTTCAGATGAGAGTTATTTCTGTCTAAAAGTATTATCCTAGCTGCATAACAAAGTTAAATACTGATTACCTTAAAGATGTAACTGAAAGGATTGCTCATTCATTTTCAGTTAGCTGATATATTTATGTATGGGTTATCTTGGGTAAATTGGCATGGATATGCTAACTTTAGTTCCACCATGGATTTTAATAGCGGTACAGCCATTATACAATGTCAGATTCTCAGCCAGTGTGAGATGTGGATCATTATGGCCTTTAATACTTCAACAGATTTCAAAAGAGGCTGCTTATTAGGTAAAAGGAATTCCTACAGAAATGAGAAATAGAGATGTTGTATCATATCTTGGGCTTTAACAGAACAGAAGAATCTTACAAATACACTGTGACCCATTTGAGCATTTGGATGTTATGCAGCTAAGCGCGAGGGAACTGAAAAAAATAAACCCGACACATCCTGGAGAGCTCATCTGGGGTCCCTCCATTCCTTCTGCATTGACAACTGACATTTATGTCAGGCTTGTGGATTTCTGGAGCCACTAGCCCGCAAAGATTATTTCAGATGGCCTTTGTGGAGGCCTCTGTGGTCACCTCTGTGCTGGTGAGTGCAGCGTGCTGGAACCGTTCTCAGGCACTTTGCGTACCTGACCAGGAATAACTGGTGCCTGCCCTTGTACCACTCTCTGTCCGGGAGAGCAAGGCAGCTGCTTGTAAACCACTGTCCTGAACTGTGCCTGGTGGTGACTGGGAGAGTGACAGTTGGCGCTGGCCAAAATCCTTGCAGGCATCTTTCCAATGATTTGAATAATCCCATCCCAGGGCCTCAGGGAGATGACTGGCACAGGGTAATTTCCTAGTGCGGGTGTGCCCTGTGGTTCAGTGTAGGCTGTAGCTACATTAGCAAATAATATAGAGCAAATAATTTAGAGCCAACACAGAGGGTGGTGCAGTGAACTGTAGTCCTTCATATTGTCTAATTGCTGGCATTTCTTGGCATCCTTTTGGCCCTGACAGCGCTTTCCTAGATAAGTCTGGGCACAACTCCTGGGACAGCACATGTCTGGATTTTAGAGAAGGAGAGGGGTGCATGGATGAGCTGTGCTGGGCCAGGTGGCCCGAAAGCCTGTGTTAAAAGCTCCCTGGCCAGTGTGATACTGTCTTTCCTTGCACAGGACCCTCTACATTTCCTTCAGCTACAGCTCCCAAGAGCCACTTTGAAAGGCCTCAGAGCACGACCCAACTGCTTCTGCAGAGGGTAAAGCTAACAGTGACAGGTTCATCATGGGATCTTTCCCAATTTATTTTGTGAACAGAACCAGACCAAAATTATCATCGAAAACTCATGCTGTACCTCGTCCAAATCTATGTCGATATGTCTGCAAAGTATTCACTGTTTCATCCCAAGTAATTAATTAGTTATTCCATCTGCTTCAGTAGTTTTTGATTCAGATTAGGACCAGAAGGCTGTCTGGAGAAGCATCCAGTGTACTGCCAAACACAACACAAACTTTTGCCTGCTGAATCTTGAGAGCAGTGTGTACCACCAAATCTTGAGTGACTCACGCTCTTGCAGAACCACAGGTTCCTTTCAGCCTTCCTGCACCAATGCAACAACACACTGTGGATATGACACATTTGATGAAGGTGACAGCTCACAGTTACAACTTAGCAATGCACTCCTGTCATCTGATCTTGGTGTTGCAATAAGGGGTTAAAAAAGGGGAATGGGCTGGTGTTTGGGAGGAGAGGAGTAACTTGCTAAACCACAAAAACTGTTTTCACAAGAAGTAAAAAACGTGAATATTGTGTAAAAATGCTTGAATTGTTTGAATTTTAAAATGTAAACTTCTGAAACTCAGTTTTATCGCTGTAATAAATATTCAAGATTAATTCCTCTGTATTTTCAGAATAACATTGTTTCCATTATTATTTGTAATGATTGGTTTTAAAATATTATTTTATCAGATGGAAGAGGTGATTGAAGACATAATCAATATGGAATCAAGTTTTAATGATGAAGGGATAGGTTGTTCTGAAACTCCTCTACTAATGCAAAGAACTGTAAGTATTTTGTGGAATTTCATCTTGCTGTTTATTATAGAGAATTTCACTGAGTGATTCAAGAACATGTCACACTTCAGAGGCTTAAGCAGTACTATCAGTGGACTATTCCCCTTTCTCTTCTGTGGTTTGTCTTTTTGTCAACAAATGTTAGAGGAAGGGGTTCCAACGTGGTGGGACACAGCTGTTTTAAGTGGTCTCAATAGCATTTGGGGTTCTAGCCCAGCAGCAGGTCTGGCACATAACCCATTCGAGGTACTAAGTACCATGCAGCACTATGGATAAGAGGAGTCTCTAGACCCCAGAAGGCCTTTTAAAGTCTTGCTTAAAGATCCTTCTACCTCATCCAAAAAAACCCCTTCCCATGTAATATTTTCTACAGTACAGTAGTTTCTCCAGTGACTTATGCTGAAGCAAGGGTGGGCTCTATTTCTTGACTTTCATAAAGGCAAGTTGCACTTAGTTGAATAATTTTAAGGGCAAAGATGAAAAATGGAACTTTTTAGGTGAAATGTTTTATAGGATTAAACATAACAAATTTATAATTTTGTAACATCTTTTTGTAAAGAAATGACAGAGGATTAACAAAGGCTGCTTACATTTCCATATATGTTACACACTTGAATAGGAAGGATGGACCTTTTCTGGACACAACAATGCATAGAGCATTATTATTTGTGAAAATAACGCCTATCAAGAACTCTAATGCAACACACTTCACAGAAGGGAAGTTCTTTGTCCTCTCAACCCTAATTTATCTTGGGAACTGTTTTCCACAGATTTTGTCCTCAGGGCCTTAAAATGGGTACTGATAAAGGGAAACTTCACTCTGGTGAAGGCAGAAGGATTTTCACAGGCTTCGACAGTCTACAAAGTTCATTTCAGAATACAGAGTCAGGTGCTTGCTCTTAATCACCCGCTAAAGGAACATCTTTTTCTGGCTACAGAACATCACTGGCTACAAAAATACCTTAGGACATAAGATCTCTATGCCTCTATGTTGCCCACTACACAGTCCAGTATTAAGGGCAATTAATTGTTCCATGAATACCTGGCATTTGCATGCCAGCTACAGAACTAATACAGTCAGACTGATTTATACATATCTCAGTACAGAACATAACAAAGAAATGCTCCCTGGGGAGTGAATTAATATTTTGGCCTAAATTAACATGAGGCAGGGGAGGATCCTTTCAGGTGTGGTACCGTGGGATGGTGATGAGAGGCATGAATTCTGGGTTTTGGATTAGATTCATACTCCCTCAACACCTTTTAAAACTGGCTGATGTTAATCTTTGCTAATTCCAGCCTCATTAGCCTTTATCTTCAGCCATGAAGGACATATCTCTCTAAAATGTATTGAATACCCCACTCTTGATGAGCAAGGAAATATGGAACGACTGTTAGCTGGTATCTTACTTGCAAAGGTTTGAGACTCCTGCAATGTCTGTGGGCCAGATAATGGTGTTTATATGGTTTTGTGCTGAGGAAGTCACCAGGCTAGTAGGTAAGCCAGGGAATAGCATGTGTTTCCAAATCTCTGTGCAATACTATGGCAAAATATAGCTTGCCTTCAACAAGGCATGCGAACTGCGTCAGCGTGGAAGCAATCAAGCAGTATCTCTGCCTCTTCTGTCTTCCCTTTTGGCAATGTGTACTCCAAAAATATAGGAAAGAAATGGGCATATAGAGGTGATTTCAGGCATTTAGCTCATGACTCACCGTTTTATGGCATCTTTCAGGCAACATCCTAAATCTGCCTGCAAAATTTTGTTCATAAGCTGTGCAATAGAGAAGGATAGAGAGGCAGGTAGAAAATAAGTGTTTTAGATCCAGTTTTTCATTATCATATTAAAAGTAATGACATTTTCTTTAACTGAGTTAAAAATATATATATTACAACAGTGTTGGACTAGGAGACATGATCAGGAATGAGAGAACATCTAATTCCCCTGAGAAGAGGAACTGGTTTTGTGCTCTACTTAAACAAAGATTCATATTACCTCTTATGTACTTCTGCACAAGGCGCCTGGCTATGGTGGCTGCCATCAACATAAAGTAAGTGAGATCACAAGTGGGACCGAGTTGCCCGTGTACCTGGCTGATTTGGTGTTTGCTACCTCTTTACACTTCTCCAGTGTAATGCTTAAATATTTTTAGAATTTCATCTTAGATTTTTCCCTCCTTGGCATTGTCTTGTAGTCTAAAATTCTGAAAAAAATCTGACTCTCTTGGTTTTCAGAATGTGGTGCGAGGATAGGGTGTTTTTTCAGCAAAATCTTTTCTTGAACAAGCCAAACTCATGAAGCCATTTTCTTTTCTTATTTTTCTCAATAGAAAGTGGCTGAGATTAGGGACTTTGCAGTGCTACCTGTTGTGTGTTGCAATGAATTAATGTTTGCTTTAGTTAGATGCAACCATGTACCATTTTAATGGCACATTAAATGAGGACATTGAATTCTATGAGACCACTCATGTGAATAATTGCTCAGAGGCTCATTGTCTGACCCTGAATTAATGAATTACAGTCATGTATTAGTAGAATCAGAGAAGTGAAAACAAGAACATTCCTCCATCTCTCATTAAAATAATTACGGCTTCTGAAGAGCAGATTGTCTGGCTTTTATTGTGTTTGGACCCAAATTCATAATTTCGTAAAACTCTCTGGGTTTGGGTGGTAACTTAAGAATTGCTCAAAGTAGGGAATTCTCTGGCTGTGTTTCTATTGCTCTTAAGAGTACCCTAATGGTAGAAACCTACTTTTTATAATCATTTTTTAGAAGTTCAGTTAAAATACAAGACTAGGTCCTCCCTATATATGCAAGAGGTCTTGATTCTTCTGAATGTATTTGTAAACCCAGTTGTATGTTTGTCCAGAAAACATAGCTGAAATCAAATCATAACTATTATTATGAACTATCATTTGATGACAACTGTTTATTCACCGTAAAGGTGGTAAGATTTAATTAAAAAAACCTTGAAGATGACACCAATTTAAAGTAATTTTCCTTTTCATAATAAATTAGTTTTATGAAACTGTTTACTAACAGACAGCAAAGTATTCATCTACATTGTAAGAAATTAATTTCTTCTCTAAGTATCATACTAGGAGCAACAGGTTTCTTCCTGACTTTATAGGAATCATTACAAAAATGAAACAAAGAATATATGAGTGAGTTTTAAAAGCAAACTAACGTTACAAATGTCAGCTATTGTGACAGACATTTGAAAAGTAAATGTTTTTCATTTTTATTAAACTTTCATTCTTATTCAAAATCCTCACAGGCTATTCAACATTCTGTAGTGAATTTGAAGTTGTTTAACTTCTAAATGCTCATAACATAGGAAATGTAGATGTGCAGGTCTGTTAATGTAAAGCATGTATGACACCATCATTAAAAGTTTAGGGCAAGTTCTAAAAAGCTGTGGTCTACGTTCCTTTTAATATCTGAAAAAAGGAAGTTTAAGAAACATGCTGTATTAAGGCAGATGTGGAGAGCGTTAGTCACAGTGAAGAGAGCCAGAAAAGAGCAGAGTTAAAAAATAGGATCTCTCTGCTTTTCAGGGTGTGATTTGACAGTGTGTGACCTAGTAAACCTCTACTTGTTACTAAATGTTGTTTTGTTTTGCTGCTATATGTATACAGCCCTAGGACTCACCAGAAAACCTAGTAATTTATCAAATACAACAGTGATCTCTATGAAAACATTTGGCATTTTACCAGTACTTTCATTCAGAAATAACTGCTGTAGCCCAAATAATCACAGTACAGCTACTGGGATAATGTCCTCTACTTGACATGCAGTCCACTAAAACTTACGTCAAGCGCATTAGGAGATTGACTGGCTTGGAATGAGAATAAAATGAGAGGGTATTAATGTTCTGCAAAGGCACAGGCTTCTCTTGCACCGTGCTGGGTGGCACCGGCCAGAAAATAATTTAATTTTGTGAACATTTCCAAGGATTCTAAGTTGTCTTTTGTTCTGGCACACAAGAAAACAAGAGCTTTCAGAATTATTCTTGAAGAAGCCTGGGGAGAGAGGCTCTGTAATGATTAGAGAGGTGGTGGTGAAAGCTAAGGAGCAGTGTAGAGTAGTGCTTGGGGCAGAGCACTACCATAAAACTGGTCTTCAAAAAATCACCAGCAGCGGCCCAGCTGGTGATATGTTGAATCAACTGGGCTGACTGTTGCTGGAGTAGTAAATATTGAACGACTAAACAAAATGGAGCAGTTCCTTCTGGATTGCTTCAGAGAAAATTGAAAACTTCTCCATGGAAAACCTTTTTATTAAATTTTTACCATGTCCAGTACTAAATAGACCCAAGAAAAAAATGTTTCTATGTTGATTTATTCATATTTAAGAAATGTTCTCTTTAATTATCCCCTTGAATGAGCTTGCCAACTGGAATGTTTCCTAAAAGCAATGTCTTCTAACCAATAGAAAGCACGGATTTTATTATTATATATGGATAAATGCACCATAAGTGTGATCTAAAGAATTATTCTCACTCAGGGAATACAATAGCCTTGGTAGCCCTAGACAAAGCTGCAGCAAATATCTGTTAAAACAAGTTATTTTTTAAAAAAAATCTCCAAAATAGTTTCCAAAATGGTTCTCTCCTTTAAAGGAAAGAAATATTTAAAGATTTGAAACAGCATTAACTCCTCCAACAGCTCCAGCTCTAACTGTGTACTGAAATCATTACGGTGTCACTGGTGCTTTGAAGTCCACGTAACCTCGGAGATTTAGAGCTGTCACAAGCAATGAATCTGTTGTTGGGAACTTTGTCTATCTGTGAAGCTAAGCAAATTTCTTCGGTCCTCCTTTGAATCTGACTTGATGTACGTGGTTTTTATATGCCGGGAAAAGAAGAATTAAATCACTAACAGAGAGGGGAAGCCAAAGCAGCTGGTTTTGCTAGCTGTTGGATGGCAGGGCTGAGCCAGGGGCCAGCCGGGGTGGGGAAGGTGACAGAGCGGGGAGCATGGTGCTGGGCGA